CCCCAAAACCCCAAAACCCCAAAACCCCAAAACCCCATTATTTAGCCGTTAAGTTGAAAGAAGGCTGTAAGGAGAATAAAAAATTGAGTAAGGAGGCTTGGACGAACTGGGTTTAAGAGGAGAGGGGATGAGGTTTGATGGGGTAGGGAAGGTGTTGGAGAGGTGAAGTTTGGGATTTTGAGCCAGAGAGGGGAGTGATGTTGAGATTGGGGTGGGTTAGGAAGGGGTGAGAGGTTGTGGAGTTGGGGAGTTGGGGATTTTTAAAGTTTTTGGATGATTTATGTCTTGGAGGTCTTTTGTGTCAAAACTTATGCAAAATTTACTGAATCTTAGTGATCAGTTTAGTTTTGACATTTATTTTTATATAAATTCCTGCACTTTAATATCTTCCTCATCCACTTAGACCACTCATCACAATAAGAATATTCGGAAAGTACCTTTATCATATTTTATTCTGGCTTTCAAACCTCAACAAGCTTTCCTCATCCCTAAGCTCATCTCTACAGCTATCTTCACCTGAATCTCCTTGGACCTTTTCTGCACACTTCTTTGGTCGCCAATCACTACATAAAAATCAGAATTATCAATTCTTCTCACAGTAAAATTTCTGGTCGGTAAAGTAGGTGTGGAAAGAGTTTCAAAATAATACAATTCAGTGCGCCAGAATTTGTTCTGACAAGGAAGAAATTTTAGAACACAGTGGCTTAGAGCATTGACACATTATTGTAAAGACAGGTTAGGATAGTAAGGAGGGTGGGGAATGAGAGGTTGGAGGAATTGGGGTGATGGGAGGAATTGGGAGGAATTTTGAAGGAGAGGGTGGGTGGGGGTGGGAGATTAGAAGAGAAAGATAGAGGAGATTTGGAGATGGTGGAATTGAGCTGGAAGGAGGGTGGGGGTTTATGGAGGCTGTTTAGAGTGAGCTCTGTTAGAATTTGTTTAATATTTTGGATCTTATTTTTCTGTATAAACAGAAGAAGTTTTTCTTTGTGATGTTTTGTTCTTTGATTAAAATAGCTATTCATTTTTGAATATCTGTTTGATGGCTATAATATTCAAGATTCAAGTCTTATAGTTGTTGTCAGATTCGAAATACTAGAAGGTCTGATCCAAAATTAATTTTTGCCATCAATACCTTCCAACAAAATATCCACAACTCCACAAAACCCCTTTTTCCTCCTTTTCATACCTCCTCAAAAACTACCCTCAAGAATCCCCAAAATCCTCCCTAACCACCCAAAAACCTCCCTTTTACCCATCCCAACACCCCCTAAACCCCTCATAATTTTCCTTTTCAATCTAAAATCCCCTAAATGGGGTTTTGGGGTTTTGGGGTTTTGGGG